TCGCTGGGACACAGCTCAGACAGGAGCAGGCAAGAGAGAAAACATGCTTCTCCAAATCCCTGTGGATGCTGGCCGGTGCACAGGGATATCCTGCCTTGTCCTCAGGTCCCCAGGCTGGAGGAGCAGTAAGTGCTCTGGTTCCATCACAGCTGCTGCTTTTCCCTGCACAGACTTAATGCCACATTTGCTTATTGGCCAGTAAGCCAAGACAAGTTTTTATGGAAAGAGAATCAGCAAGCCCAGGTTTCAGTGTTAGCACAAATCCCCGCCACTTGCACAAGCCCAGGGCTGGAGCCATGCTGGTGTTTACCACAACTTGGCATAAAACCCAAACCACTGTTGAACTCCTCGCCAGTCTTCACACCACAGTGGTTTCAGAGCCCCAGGGAGATGCAGGGCCTGCACAGCCCTCTTGGCCACTGTGCCAGGGGTGCTGCAGGGACTGATCCAGCTGTGCTGTCATCAGAGGAGTGCAGGTTTCCTAATGCAGCAGGCTGACACACAGAGGCACCACAGCACTGCAATGACCCTACAATAACCAGCACAGAAACCCACCCAGTGTCACTGTTTTCCCTGTGGTGCCAGCCAGGGGAGTGCTGGGGCTGCTGAGCTGCTCCTGCAGACAGACAGAGGAAGGCATTGGCACCGACTTACTCTGGGCATCTCCCATAATCAGTGCTGTGTCTCTGTACTAAGGCACCAGTGGTGGCACGGGGCACCGATGTCCCCGCAGTCCCCCACTGCAGCTGGTGGCTCTGTGCAAAGGCAGCTCAGGCCACAGCAGGCAGCAGGCAGCCTTCAGGGCTGGGGTTTAGCTGTACCAGTCTGGAGGATGCTGTAGGCAGCAGGAGAAGGGATGCTGAACAGCATGGTGTGGGGTAAAACTGCAACACAAAGGAGCTTGCAGCAATGCCCTCTTTGGTGGCATCTCACATGATCCAGGAAGAAGCACTGATGTTTGAGGTCTCTGATGAGCTCCAAGGCTTGGGCAAGGCTGCTCCTTCCCACCTAAGCTGCTCTTTCTTACAAACCCAGACGCTCAGCCAAGCCCTTCACAGCTGGGAGAGGCACTTGTTGGAAGTGGCAGGGGAGGGACAGAGCCAGCTGAGTCAACTTTCCTTCCTAAAGCCCTTGGGAGAGCAAGCAATGGCAGGACAATAAACCTGTAAACCAAGATACGAACTCAGCTAATGGATCTTATCCACCACGGCACCTCCTCTGCCCCATGCCAGCTCCTGGGGTGCTCTGCTATATTGAGTATAGCACTTTGGGGTTCACAGCAGCACCCCTGAGAATAACCAACCTGCAGCTCAGCTGACTTTTGGGTGCTAGACAAAAGCATCACCCACAACCAGAGACTTCCCTATGCTGCTGATACTCACCAACCACAATCCAGCAATGCCTGGACCTTCCCTTGGATAAATTAATTAGCCCAAATTACAATGATGACAACAGACAAAGGCGAAGAAAACTGCATGTGAAGGGCAAAGGAAGGACCAGGTAAGGTGAAAACCAGTTGGGTTTGGTAGGATAAGCAGGTCCTAGTACAGCTGCTGACCAGGAACTGTTGAGGGTTTCTCAGCTGCATATGAATAGTGATTTTTTAAGGTTTGGTACTATGTCATTTCAGGGTTTATTTCTTTTTTTTCCCACTGAGCCTGTGAAAATTTGTGTTTGGTGTTTGAAGTCCATCATAGCTGCAGGAAATGCACGAGATGCAGGAGATGCATTTGGCCTCAGCATTGTTGCATCCTCGCCCAGCCCAGGGGCTGGCTGCATCCAGCTCCTGCTGCCTCCTGACCCACAGAGCACTGGTGGTTTGCTTGCACCACCCCAGCCAAAGGCATCAGTAATTAACCCCATCCTGATCCAAAGCCCAGGCTCCACAGACATCATCCCAGCGACTCCGGATGGGTTTTAGAGCAAGCCCTACTTTTCCCCAGTGCCAAATCTGTGTCCTCCAAGCAGCTGGAGCCCATCCCGTCCTTCTCCCCAGCTCAGACCTCCCTCTAAACATGGCTCATGCCCAACGGCCCGTGCCAAGTGTGTGCAGAAAGCTGGGAGAGAGCCTGCGCTCCCCCGCAGACATCACATGCTCCCCCACAAGCAGAAGCAGGAGCCCCCCTTTCGATTCTCCCTGTGAGTGCCCTATGAGGGCACAAAGCTGCTCCTGCACTTTAAATGGACCAATTTTGGGGGTGTTTGTATCACGTATGTGGCATACAGAAGAAAGAAATCCGCATGAGGAACAGCTGAAGCTCCACTGGGAGTGAGCAGGTAATAAAACTGTGCAAGGGCAAGCACAAAAATCCCCTTGCCAATGAACCATGCTGCACCCCATGCCCTGTCCCACAGCGTGGGGTACCATCTCCCCTGGCCTTTCACCCCATCCCTCCTCCCAGGAGCCACTGCGACCCCACAAAGCATCTGAGCAAGAAACCAGAGAGGAAGAAACAGTGAGAAAAGAACCTGAAAAGCAAGAAGAATTGAAAACCCACCCCAATCCCTTGGCTTATTCCTCCTGCTTCCACGCCGGCTGTGAGCGTGCACAGCTGTATCCTGCTCCTGCATCCCGCTCTGGATGCAGGAATGACACATCTGGAGAAGTCACACCGAGAACTGACGCAACTTGTGCCAACAATGGTGCTTTTTCTGGGGCAAATGCCTTATTCCCAACCCACAATGGGGCAGCAGGCTGGCAGTAGGGAGCAGGCAGTGCAGCTCTGTGGTCCTTAGTGGTAGCACACGCATCTCAAGCTGGCTGGCCTCGAGCATCCTGGCACTGAAACACAGGATGGAGAGGCATGGCTACCCTGCGGAAGCACCTTTTGGGGGTACACAGGGCTCCTCTGCCGGCTCCCCAGCCCTAATTACTATGGTAACAGCCTGCGCCGGCGCCTCGCTGTCCTCCTCCGGTGACTCACTGGGTTTCAAAAGGAGAAGTGATGCCTTGGCCACCACTGGTCGGAACCAAAGCACTGGAAGCCCAGTGGGCACGCCTGCACCTGCTGGGTGGGAAGGCATGGTCCATCCTTGCAAAGTTTGCCTCTTCATCGCGTTTTCCACTCGCAGCCACCCCGGCACAGGGTGGCAAAGCAGCAGGCTGCCTCGGGGATAAAAATAATACTAATAATTGAGCTTCGTCACCAGCTCGCAGCCATCTACCCACAGGAATCCCATCAGGAGACCCTGCGATCACCTGCTCCTGGTCTCAATAACCGCATGCTATAAGGCAGCCCATTGCCAGGATCCAATGCACACTGGTTATCATCTCCCCCACGGGGGTCACCACTGGCTCATGACTGCAAGGATCCCAGAGAAAATGCAATGAGCATCCTTAATGCTGATATGTGCACCACTGGGAACAAAGCTGCCAGCTCCCAGAGAATCTGGGATAAAGGATGGGCATGTGCAGGCAGTGTCCCCCACAAGCTGGGGATACCCCATTTCAGACACGAGGCTGACTCCAGCTGACATGCAGATGATGCAGAGTCTGCCCAACTCGTGTCACAGGTGAGCAGCCAACAGCACACTGTGCCAACAGCAGCGAGCAGCAGCCCCTGCTTCTTCTTGCAAGCAAGTGCAAGGCTGAAAAAGCCAAAAAATAAGTCCCCAAACTGGTGCCAAGGGAGCAGCATGGCTAATGCCCACCCTTGCAGGGCCAACATGGGAGCTGGGACAGGATGAGGCTGAGCCATGTGCCCTGTGCCCTGAAGCATGGGGTGAGAAGAGCCCCATTACAGCCTCCAGAGCACCTCAAAACATCCTCCTGGAGAAAGGCTTCACCCTGGGGCTTTCCTGGCAATAATTAATTGAGTCATATTTCAATCCAGCCAGGGGCCATATGGTAGAAAAGAGGATTAAAATCGCATGCTCCAGCTGCATTCAGGGAAATCCAGTTATAAGGAAAAATCCTCTGTGCCTGGCCCCAGCCCCATGCCAGGATACGTGCTGCTGCCACCCGCACAGCCCTGGCCCCTTTCCCTCTCGTGAGCACGGGCTCACTGGTGTGGCAGTCACTGTTTGGTAATTTGGGGGCCCAGAGGAGAACGGGGAAATAAATTACAAACCAGACCTGCAAGGATCCCTTGCCCTGCAGGCAGCAGGTACAGCAGTGGCAGTGAATGTGTGCTCGGAGCCCACCCTTTGGGGTAGCATGCTTTCAGGTCATTAGTAACTCATTAGTTAGTAATTAGGAATCGCCTTCAAGATGCTTCAAGATTTTCCCTAAAAATAAATCCATTTTCCACCGAGGAGGCAAGAGGGCAAAAGTTTTTTGCTGGATTCCCTGCCCACTGGGGCAAGTAAGCCCTGGACCGGGTTTCCCAGAGCACGCATCCCCATTGACTGGTCATTTTCCCAGGGTTACTTTACCCGAAGTGCTCACCCCACGAACCACCACTGAGAAGAATAAGGATTTGGACTGAAATGATGGGGACAGCCCTGTCGCCGTGGGGACGGTGGGGTGGGGCACAGGGTGACCATCACCCCCAAATCCCCCCCCAAGCCAGGCTGGGGCAGATCCATCCCAGCTGAGGTTGCTGCAAGGATTTGGGGCTGGGAAAGTCTCCCTCTTCTTTCCCAGAGAGGAAAGGGGAAAAAAAAAACAGAAAGAAAGAACACTGTCTCATTCATTAGCGGAAAAAGCCTTTCCTGTGATGGCAAATCAGACGATTAACTGAGGATCAAACCCTCTGAATCCAAACCTTTGTTGGGGAGACTGGCCCCTCTGTGCGGTACCGCGCCCAGCCCCCGGCGGGATGGGGACCCTGGACCCCCTCCGCAGGTGCCATCGCCACCCGATCCCGCGGGGTCCCCGTGGGGTGCTGCGGAAATCGGCGCCGTGAGGGATGTGGGGGCTTTTCTGCTGATTTGGGAGCGGTTCGGGGGCCCACGGGGGGCTGGGGCCCGCCCTGCCCAGCCCCAGTGTGCCCCAGTGCTGCCAGCCCCGGTCCTCCCAGTGCCCCCCGCCCCGGCTCCCCGCGTCTGCCCGGCGGTACCTGGAGGCGGCGGTGCTGCCCCGCGGGGCGGGCGGCGGCGGGACGGAGGGATGGAGGGATGGATGGAGGACCGGAGGGAGGGATGGAGGGCCGGAGGTAGGAGGAGGGTGGTCAGCAGCAGCCCCGAGCGGCAAGTCCCCACCCAGCTTTGTCTGCGCTCATCCCTCTGCCTACAGGAAGCGGCTCGGCCCCGACTTCCTCCTCCTCCTTCTTCTCCTCCTCCTTCTTCTCCTGGTCCTGCTCCTCTGGCAGCTGCTCTCCTCTCCTCCCTGATGACCCGGGTTTTGCAGATCGCTTTTCTCCAGACCCCGCTGCCCTTCACCCTGCATCAGTCCCTATCCCTGTCTCTGCCTCTGCCCATGTCCATGTCCTGGTCTCTGTTTCTGTCCCAATCACTGACCGTTCCTGCCTCAGTCCCTTCCACGGCACCTTGTTCCTTGCCCTCCCCTTTCTCATTCCCCCGACCCTGAACCCCACACATGCTACACACTAACCTCCACAACCACCCACTGTACCCGCATTCTGCACCCCAAACCCTGCACCATCACATACCCTTCACCCCCACTCTCTACACCCCTCATCATGCACCCTGCACCCCATACCCGCCCCGCAACCATCATATACCCTGCACCCCACACATATCCCCCACCATCCCTGTACCTCATCCCCCCCCCTCACCTCACAGACCCATCCCTGCCCTCTCCCCTCCACCCCCTCATCTTTGAATACCCCGTGTTTGGGGATCCCTTCTATCTCATGAGCCCCTCAAACCCTCTGTCACTCACACCTTTATCCTGACCACACAGCCCAAATCCCTGTCACCCCCAGACCTCTCCGTGCCCCTTGAGACCTTCCCAGCTCAGTAATTCCCTACCTGCCTCTCCAGGGCACAGCTCTGGGAACACCCATGACTCCATAGTTCCTATTTTCCTTTTAATCCATGTAAGCCTGCGTGCCTGTTTGTTAGGATTTCAGGTGGAAGATTTCCAAAGCACAAAGAGAGCTGGTGAGGGCTGGCTGGGTTTTGTATAAGGCAGCCTTTTCCTTTCCTCCGCCTGCACCCAGAAACATCTGTAGCCAGCCCAGCTGTACCTTGGCTATACATGGCTGTACCTTCAAGTCTGCTCTATTACACATGTGTACACTGAAAGTATGCTCATGTGTCCCTGGGCAGGCTGCAGCACAGCCCCCCAAAACAGGGCACTGCAAGCTGTGCCATTGCCCACCGCAGCAGCAGCACTGGGATGCAGCTCCCCGCGGGTGGGGGGCACGGGCACCCCGCAAAGGGTGGCAGCTGCAGCTCCCCGTGCCCGCAGCGGTGGGTGCGAGGGCCTGCGTGTCACCCTCCCGCCGGCCTGGCCCGCGGGGCTCCCGGCAGTGGAGCGCTGGCTGCCACGGATGGGTTTCCCCTCCCGTTTCCACAGCAACGCTGATGACTGATTTCCTTGCAGGGCTCTGGAGCTCGGCCCTGCAGAGCCCACCCCAGCTGCCCCTGGGGCTCTGTCACCCACCACCCACCCCGGGCAGCACCCAGCATGGGGCCAGTGATGGCAGAGTCCCCCGCCCCAGGCACATGAACCCCAAACACTATGCAGGGTACATGAGGTGCTGCATTAAATGGAAGTGCTGCATCCAGTGATGATTTCAGGGTGCAGAAGGTCCCCAGGCTAAAGAGACAGGAGCACACGGGGTATTTCTGTAATTATCAGCAATTAGTCATTCGTGTATGATTGGGGTGATGTCAGAGGGTGTGTCCAGCACTGCTGGCTTGGAAGGGCTGATAGAAGGAGGATGCTCTGTGAGGCACCTGCCTGGGGAGAGTCATCACTGCCTAACACTGGAGAGAGCATCACCCGTTGTCATCTGGCGGCAAAACTTAAAAGTAAAAAGGGACATTACTGCAACATTCCCCCTTTAAAGTGCATTTTGCACTTGGCTCCATAAAAGTGGCATTTGAACGTTGTCGCCCTACAAATCTCAAGTCTTTGACCACTCGGGCTGCCATGAAATGGTGACAGGAGATGCAGAATCTGAAGTGGAGCGGCTGGAGAGAAAATGGTCCAAGTGCAGCCTTCCTGTGAGAGCTTAAACTCGTGAAATGGTTAAGGCAGAGCAGCACAAGGGCTGCCAGCACCAGGGAGCATCGGAGGGGAAAGGCCAGCGTGGGTGCAAGGCTGCCTGGGGACACGCCACCGGGATGGGAACCGGAGGACCTTTCCCCCCTGGGGACCTCTCCCTCAGTGAGATGAGGGAGGAGCAATGGAGGCCAAGCCATCAAATACCAGAGGGGAATTCATTTAAGGCCTAGCTGAGGGTACTAGCCTTTGCTAAAGAAAGTCTATGGGGAAGAGAGGCCCCTCCCATCCCTCCCTCCTGGGCGGCAGGGCTGGCTCATGCAAAATAACATTCAACATCTGGTTTTAGGAAAATTGAGGGTTTTTAGAGGCCAAGGATGAAATATGGAGGCTATACTTAGTAGCAGACAATGCAGTCCCCATCCCAGAAGTCCCTTGCTCCCTCGTACTCCTCCCTCCTGCGTGAGGCAATCAGTTGCCCCGACAACGTCTGGTGTTATCAACAATTGGGCACCAAGACCCGTGGCCACCCCACGGTCAGCACCCGCCTCACTGAGGACGAGGACTGGTTTTAGAGGACAAAGGGAAATCACTGATAACATGCAGTTATTTTTGGAGCTCAAAGAAAAGGCATAGGATGCTCCACTGCTCCACCATGGATGCTGAGGGTGCCAGGGGAAGGGTGCAGTGTGTATGCCCCACACCAGAAGTGCACAGCCCCACGTCTCCATCCCCATACCTCTCCGAGGGTTCTTGGAGGAGGGATGGATGGCAAAGGCAGGCAGACTCTAGTGCAGGTCCCACAGGTGTCCAGGCTCCTGGGGATGCTGGTAGCCCCCATGGTACCAGTGTTAGGGTGGCACAGAATCGCATCCAGTCTGCAGCATGCTTGGAGAAACCAGCCAGGAAGCTTTACTGATGCTGCTTCCCCAAAGGAGAACAGGATCTTCATCCTCTGCAGGAAATCAGGATCTTGCTCCTAGTAACGGTGAACTCCTCACATCAGACAGCCTTTATCTTTCCTACCACTTGCATCTCAGCAATTATGAGTGGGCTGGGTGTGAGGGGATCAATACGCTGAGGATCAAGAGATGCTCAGAAAACTGGGAAAGAGGATGTGGAAAGGTCCTTTCCAGCCCTAACTATGATTCTATTAGTACCTTACATAACAGCTTTCCTTGGCTGGAGGAAGTGGGTGCCAGGATCAGCAAAGCTGGCAACATGAAGAAGAAAAGACCTGACTAATTATGTTGTGAGAACTTTAATTGGCACTAGTGGCCTGGGAGATGGGAGGGTGGCCCTGCATGTTGGAGGGGAAAGGCTGCAGCACAAAGCCTCTATCAGACACTGGAGAATCCACACGCTTCATCCAAAAACATCAACTCAGGGAAGAGAAAATGAAGTCTTCCCTGTCCAGGCACTCACAGAGCTTGGGGCCTTGGGAAATTCCCACCAGGTGCCTCAAGAGGAGGTGGAAGCTCTGACAGCATCCTCATGCTCAGCCTGAGGCCGGATGCCATCCTGGCCTCTTGGGCAGGATCCTGGTCAGGGTCACATCTTTAACATGGTGAAGCTTGCTCCCCTGTGGAAACTCACCTGGGTGCTGCTCCCAAACACCCATCTCATCCTCCCTAAGCAGAGTCTCCTCCAAGCAGAGAAGGAGGGAAAAAAGAGGATTAAAGAGAGAAGCGCAGTAGGCAGAGGACCACCTCCCTCATCACACTGGTGACTACTATCTCCCACTGCCTGGGGTGGGGAGCCAAGCCCTGGTAGGCTGGGCTGGGGGGGCCTGGAGACAGGCTGGAACTGGTCCTCCCTTTCCTAGAAATCACCAAAACCCAGGATGGAAAGGATCAGTCCATCTTCCCCCACCAGAGGCTGCTGCTTTTACCTGTTCTCCAGAGCCAGGTGATGCTGGAGAGCACAGTAAATTTACCACATTCATTAAATGCACCCGTTGTTTCATCACTCACTTCAGCCTGGCAGCATTTTAAATCACCAACAGGCAAAGTAATGCAAACAACTGTCACTTTATTGTTGTTTCCAGCCGTACCGCAAAAGGCACACAACAGACTTCATTGGTACAAAATGATTTCACTGCGGGGTTTTTCTATAGCTTTCCCTGTGTTTCCCTTTTGCAACACAGTCACTGGCTCTCCCATCGCCCTGACGGGAAGATCCTTTCACAGAAAGGACTATTTCGTTCGTGCAGACAGATAGCTCATTACTGCAGGGGCAGTCAGGCACTGCCACCCCATTCCCAGCAGGACCCTGCAGACACCCTGGCCACCTGTGGAATAAATGGCACCTCTATGTCCCCCCCACTGCTCCCTGGCACAGCCCCACTCCCATTTTCCCAGGGGTGAGCTCCATTGCTGCCCTCCTTAACACCCCAAACCCTGCTTTCTTCCAGGTTCAGCTATGAGATAACGGGGCAGAAGAAATGGAGAAGCCCTGATTTAGCTGCTTCCCCACCACCTCCAGTGCTTTCTGAACATCACTGGGCATTTCTTTACATGATTTACCCTTTTTGTCTCTCCAGCTATGTTTCTGCAGAACAGTGGGTGAGTGTCCCATGGAGGGCACCCCCGACTTGCTGGTGGAGGGATACCAGCAGGACCCCCCCACCCGGGTGCTGCAGCCCCACTGCCTCACAGGGGCTGGTAGAGGGGAAAAGAAGAGGCTGGGGATGAATTTAGGGTATTTTCCTGACCATACCAGCCCATGCATGGCAGACACACGCCACCCAGCAACCACAAACCTGGCTGTGGACAAGGGTCTGGAGTGGAGCTGCTGCTACCAAATGCAAGCATCCCACTCTGAGATGTGGTACCCACAAATGAGGCTTTTTGGGTGTTTTCTGGGGTCCCCCCAAAACTAGAACGAAGCACATAGGCCTGAGCCCCTTATGCAGCATCCCTCCAGCTGCCCTGGGCAGCTTTAGGGGGGATAAAAAACATCTTTTGGGGACACCATCTTCCTGCTTGCTTTGCCAGCATTTGGCTGTCTATTATTTCCAATAATATCCCTTGTGCTGGGTGAGATCAAGTGCTGGGATCAGGACACGCTGGGATCGTGCCACGGTCCCATAGTACAGGGCCACAGCAGTGCCTGAAGCTCTCCCCTACCAGCTCCCTCCT